CTTGTAACTTATCCTTTTCCTCCGGATTTTCGAAGCAGATGGATTTATTGTAAATTTTTCGAATTATTGTAGATATTAAATAATTAAAGTAAGTACTTAATTTTATTGGGAGCGTAACTAAAGAAAACTAGGATATAACTTGTATAATGAACTTATTTATTTAAGACTGATACATTAAAGCAAATTTACAAAAAAGAGTTGCCTTTTTATACACATTTTGTAAACAAATGTTATATACAATTTCATTTAACCAACAGTGTATACTTTAAGTTGATACGTTTTCTATTATCTGGCTAGATTTCTATCAGATCCCTGATGTAGCGCGACTTTAACGAATGCATTCATACGTTACGTAATTTGGTTGAGAGTGTAAAAGGGACAACATGTTTTATGAATGTAGTTGTTACATTTATTTATGGTGGAGATTCATACCAAAAGATGCTTGCATTTATCGTTCAGGTCTCGATTCTACAATAAGCCTAGGCGCAGACCACCGATTTTTAGTTGGTCGATAGTTGGGTCGGGCTATTGATCAGTATGGTATGGAGATGACGTATGAAAGTTCGCACATTACGCCGATTTGGTATCGGCCGATTCTTCATACTAATTAAAACGGGCCCAACTATCGGCCAACTAAAAGTCGGTGGTCTGCGCCTAGGCTAAGTGGATAGACTCTAGAAATTGTTTCTTTCACTATCAATTGATTCGATACGCTTCCTTAGGTACAAGAAAAGTAGATAAATTCTATGCGATTGGTTTGATATGAAAATATTGCGAAAGTTACACTGTCCAGAGGCTATCTGTGAAATTTCAAGATATTATTATAATAACATTGTGTTTCGGTAGTATTCACACTAGAATTGAAATTGATAATATAATCGATACGCCGATTGAAGCAGCGGGCATGAACATCGGGCTCGGCAGTACAAAATTTAAATAGTAACTAGCAATAAACATCTGTTCTAATATGAATAATTATTATTCTGGATATAGATTCGTAACAATACATAACGTGGAATCTAGCTACGAATGCTACTGGAAGGGACGTAATAAATTTTATGATACAATTTCGTTGAAGTTTAGAGTTCATATAAAACTGTTAAATATAAAAATGTGGCAATATTTAGAATAATGTGACTGAAATCTGTATTGTCTTTATAAATAGATCTTAACTTAGCTATTTCAACAACCATTCTATAAAAAATCTTTGAATGTCATGTTCTTATGAACATAAAAATACCTCTGGCTCCTGGTCTAATGCTTTGAATTTCACTGTTTTGAACCTTAAATTATCATTATAAGTTTCAAATTCAAATGAGGAAAAATGTTAGCAAATGTGCTGCGCCGGCGCTTACGTATGTATAAATTGCATGTGCTGTATAAAATTAGTTTTCATAAAATAAGAAAACTTGTAATTCATAACTTTCTATTGCCGACCCAGTCGAAATGACTCCCAGCGTCGAGATTAGATCGACCTTACGCCAGAGGTATTAAAATAAAAACAAACCGAATTCACAAACATTAGTAATCAACCGGCGAAGTTACTTTTTCAGTTCGTTTCGCTCAAACGTCATCGCTATAAACGTTTTGACACATCGATTCGAACAACGAACATTTCTTTTTGTAGGCGGCAAATTCAATAGTAATGTTCAATGACTTCCAAGTATTAAATTACTTTTACGCTGACACCATTTGTGTTGGCTCCAACGTTGGCCCAATACTACTCGTCCAACGTGTGAACCTGAAAATAGCTTATCCCAACATTGCTGCCAATACCATTTCTTAGATCCGCATGTTGGCCCAACGAATGCGCACATTGATAAAATAAAATGACAACAATTTATCGGTTTCGTAAACGATATGATTTAGTTGGGTACAACCTTATCACGTACACTTGACACAAACTTAGGGGGTTGTCTAGTACTACATAGAAGTGTTTGGTTATAAACTATCGCTAGTAATCGACAAGTTTCACTTTCCTGGGAGGTTCATCGTTCCGATCATGGCTGTAGGACGGACCGTCTCCGTGGTTGTATTCCGAGTGGGCGTGTCGCGGGGCGTGGCCTCGATAGTTTCCACGGAAGGGGCGGCGCCTGTGATCCCAACGATCATCGTGGCGCTCCCATCTTTCATCGTGGCGTTCCCATCTATCGTCGTGGCGCTCCCAGCGGTCGTCGTAGCGAGTGTCGCGTCGGCGATCGTCGTCGTAGCGTCGGTCGCGGTTGTCTACCTGGCGGCGTAGCGGCGCGGTGGCGAAGTCTTTGTTGTTCTCCCAGATCGGGATGCGCTTTTCGGGCGTGGGAGACTTCGAGCGACTTCTATCTTTTTTCCTGTCTGGATTCGACTCTCTGTAAAGAGTATTTTATGTCAAGTTTACCAGATTTTAACAACTTACATAGTTTTGCGACTCGAAATACGTAGTTTTTCAAGCCAGTGTTCAAATAAAAATAATAAATAAATACCTTGAAGACGACCCGCTGTGTGATTTGTCAGAATCCGAGTCGCTGGAGCGGCGATTCTGTTGGTGCCTCATCTCTCGCTGCCTGCAATACAAACAAGCAAGTATTTTAATGTACGGAAAGGCGAAAATATTTAATAGTGTAATGACACTATTAAATATTTTTTTTAAATCACCTCAGTCACTTTCACTCTCAGTGTTGCGTGATACGGATACGATGATCAGATCGGGCCAATGTTGCGGCTTTAAGTTGTGCGCTTAAACTTTCACTAATTGGTGCTAAAGTCTGTTCGCCGAGAGTTGATGAAAAAAATTAAATATCAGAGGTTCTAAACTCATTATAAATTGCGGCCCGCTAATTATTTTTGTCGATATAATGAAAAAGTTGGTGATTTTTATGTAGAGTTGGTTGGTAGTACCTTTTTTTTTGGCCTGGATTCTCGGCTCGGTTACAATTTAATTTTGGACTACCATTTATAAGAATGTTCTAAAAATACCAATTATCTACCAAAATCTACTAAACGATTTCGCACTACTAAATCATCGTTCTCTTTGCCTCAAATCTACCAAAAAGTAGAAATCTACTAAAAGTGGTCACGCTGTGGCCGCCGCCGCCCGCCGGCCGGGGCGCTTGACGACAGCTGCGTGGCTCGTACCATGGTACTCAGTGCGCGTTGTGACAAACGACGCCCGCCATACAGTATGCGATAATTAAGCGACAGTCGCCATTGCAAGACATTTCATAATATTTATCAACTCTCGGCGAACAGACTTTAGTGGAAAGTAATCCTTACCTCTTGCGGATAAGTTTATGTGTGGGCTAGTGTACAAAAGTAAGGTATACTGACTTGCGTCGCAGCTTGATGGCGAGTTCTCGCATTTCCTGGTCGCGGCGTGCCTGGCGCCGGTTCTCGCGTTCCAAGCGCTCCGCCTCAGCCCGCTTGTCGGCCCGGACTACGGGAATAAACACGTTACAAAATACCGTTGTCAAAAAACATTATTTTGTACTGGAAACTGTCACAATGTAGTGTTATTAAGTAACGATAGCGTTTGAGGTATCGTTATTTCTTTAACACTGGTCTACACTACCACGCATTTCATCATCAAGTCATTTGGTTTTTATCTTCACTAAAGGACACGGATCGTATCTTATTTACCAGAGAGAAATGGAGGATTTACTCACTCCACCCTAATTAATTAGACAGGTTGAGGGGACCAGATATTAGCATAATTCATCTTTAGTTGCTTGCTTTTTAAGGCATCAACGGAAAGAGTGCGGATGGTCCTATTTTACTCTGATGGAACTACATGGCTAGGCTGTGTTTAATCGAGATGAATTCTATCTTGTCATGGCGCGTACTTTTTGTTGAAACTTGAACAAGTTGCTATAGCGAAATAGGCTAAATTATGATTACTTGACGACAATAACTCAACCTTTAACATTGAAAGTCGCATATGACCGCTTCCAATAAGTTAAATATTCTATCAATCACTCTACTCATGACTAAAAGTGTAACAAACAAATGAATCCTAAACGTAAATCCGTTACAAAACTCACGTTGCCTTGATAGCTGCGCCTGCATTTTGCGCCGGAGTTTCTCCTTCAAAGACAGCGTCTCGCGCGACGGGCCCTGCAAGAGTAGACACGTTTATAAAGAGAAATGTTTGGCGAGACATGTCTCGGGTGAGACACGCCTCTGGGAACTTTGTTATGGTTAGATTAGAATTATTTGTGGCCACCTATTTGGTACGATGACAACTTTTCTTCTAGAGTCTAAATAGTAACAAATGAATGACTACGGCTCCTTATTTTATGTTGAAGCTCAAAATTATATCTCGAGTCTATTAATGGTTAATTTTCAAACAAGATTGAATTTATGCTTCATATACAAGTATGACATCTTATTTATTTATTATGTACACCAATAAAGTCACACACATACAGTTCATACATTTTAAGATGGTTTAACACATGATGCTATGACCTCAATTACAGGTATACACAGCATTTCTTTTTGCATTGTTGGGTACTTATACTTTTGACTGAGAATAGGGAATTAATTACTAAGATACTGTAATGATGAATAAGTAAGATACATTTGGATAGAACTACTTTTACGTTTCATTTACCAGAATAACTTTGTTAAGATGTTATGAAAGGAAAGATTTAATAAATTCGCACACGAAAATTAATAGAGAACATTATCTTAAAAGCAAACTGTCTTATGCTTAAACATACAAAAATAACACAAATAATTAGCAAGCGTTTGGTAACCCAAGAAGTTTCCTGAATCTGGACAGGATCTGGTTCAAATATAACAAGCGAAAATTGTCTACCGATTTGCCAAGAACTTCATTTGAATTTTTTGAACCAAGTAGATATACAGGGTGTTAGATAAATGGGTATATGAGCCGACACTAGCCCATGTTAACATGGTCATATAAATGGTATGGTGAAGTCAGAAAATTGATATCTTCATTTTAATTATTTTGATTTTCATACAAATCGGATTTTATAAAATTTATTTTGTATGACAATTAAAAAAAATAAAATGATGATATCAAATTTCTGACTTCACCATACCATTTATATGCCCATGTTAACATGGGCTAGTGTCGGCTCATATACCCATTTACCTAACACCCTGTAGAAAGATAAAAAGATATATGTATTATTTAAATTTTGATTCCTTCATCATATTTTTTAGATCTGAAGAAAAAGACTAATCAAAGAGAAAGATCGCAAAGTGAAGTATGACCTGCTGACCAAGTGGTTTAGCCAAGTAACCACATGTGAAGCTTGGCCGAGATAAGTACAAAACCAAACTGTTATCAGACTGCCAAGTGCCTTGGCCAAGTAGCTGTGGGAATGAACGGGGTAATCTAATGTAAGCGTACGGGTGAAGCAAATGATTCTTACTGACTTTGGAGCTGGCTCCAGATCGTAACTGATTCTGGTTTGAGTTGGATTTATTGCCAACCGCCGATCTGTAACAAACACACTTTCTGTAGTCACGTTGACATAATAAAAGAAGAAAAACTAAACGATAGACCCATGCCCGTTTTCACCATCAATAAGTAATTTTTAAGTGACCCATATGAAAACAAAATTCCTGTTATTTGTTACCATAGGGGTCACTTAAAATTTAGGGATTGATGGTGAAAACGGCCAAAATAAACGGTGGGACCATTTATGAAACCCCGACGGATGAAAATGAAGTTTTCGTCAAATAAAAGGCTGGGAGCATAGGAACGTTTGGAGTAGACTAGTGTCATGGAGATAATAATTGAACTGACTAAAGCCTGGTCCGTGAGCACGTAGAATCCCGTCCAATGACCCCAAGCTACCCATCCTTATCGCTCGCGCGTAATTATATTGCTGTCGCGACTGTGCGACGCGCGCCCGCAGTGAGTGTGCGAGCGCGACAGCAACATAATAACGTGCGAGCGACAAGGATGGGCAGCTTGGGGTCATTGGACGGGATTCTACGTGCTCACGGAGCAGGCGTTAGCCATTTTACGTATTCTGTTTCGACTACACTAATGTTATAGAGAAGCAACCTGAATTTATAATGTTGTGGATCTTACATACCTGTATGGTTGACTTTTTATTGGCAATGCTGCAATCTTCAAGTCTTATAATGCTTGATAACTATGTTTCATATAATAAACTTTTACATAAAATGTATCTTGAGAGACTTGGAGTGATTGGTTTATAGTGGCTTTGAAAACAACAGCTGTGTTTGGTGTGGAAGTTGTGCCTTGGAGTGATAGCTTTATGATAGAGTTATGATGTCAAATGCTTTGCCAAATGGCTCGTGCGAGGTGTTCAATTGTTGTGATGAAATTGTGCCTTGGAGTAATAGCTTTATGGTGCCAAATGCTATAACAGCTCGTGTGGTGTGGTGCTCACTTGTTGTGGTCGGTGGAGTCAGAAGAGTCTAGGTCACTGGAAGACCGGTCCTCGGCGCGCCGCCCGTAGTATCGCGCCACCGGTTTCTCAGCTCGTTCCGTACTGGATACCAAATTAAAATGTTACTAAAATAAACTTTCAGACAAATGAATACCTGGGATACGTTCTGCCAGTACAAGAAATCTCTCATCTCATCATATTATCTCATTTCAACTAAAATATGGTAGCAAAAAGTCATCAACAACAGCTAAATACTGCGCGAAGACTATTTTTATGCAAAGTTTTTTTTTATGCATGACAAGGAAGGTATTTGACCGCAATCGCACCTGGTGTTAAGTGAGATGCAGTCTAGGATGGTACATATTATTATCTGCCCTGTAAGTGTCTATTCACTCTCGCCTTGAAAAAGGCCCAGATTATAGTGTTCAGGAAAGACAGCAGCAGGCAGCGAATTCCAGTTCATTCCAGCTGTTCGCATCATAAAAGAGTCATCGAAACGCTTAGTGCGAGCTGGTGGAATGTCGACAATGTAGGATGGTACGCTAATCTGTGACATTATTGTCCCGAAGAAGTGGTAGGGTTGTGATGTGTAAAAGTGCTTTTTAAAGGACTCCTTCACTCCTTGCAATAATAATTTGATTTAGTTACCATACTTACCGTAGAGAATCGTATCGTAATAATGTTTGTAAAAATAAACTTTAAAATCTTTCTATTTCGTAAAAAATAAAAGGTCTACCTTACAGTTACGTTGTCGAGAGAACTAAAAAAGTCAAGCTTACCTTTCGTAGGACATCGACCGGGAGTTATTACGCTTGCTATATCCGTGACTGTGGACACCAAACAAAACTATATTAGCTGTTTATACAATTTTAGTCAGTAAAACTCTACTGCTGCTCTATCCATTTTCTCTGGAATCCATTTTGACAGGACTCAGAAATTTAAAGATAAGTTAGTTATGAAGTCAATGTAAAAAATATGACGACGCCATACACGCATCTCAATTCAAAGTGAGCATCAAATAATTATAAATTGCCCAACTATTTCAATAGTATTTATTTATTGACAAATATTCTGACAGATTAAACATTTGTGCTCAAGTGTGAATACGCCTGGTATAAAAAAAATATACCTTTACCTTCTCTGTCTCTATCAATTGTAATTAATTTCAACAACCGTAAATGTATACAAACCCGTCTCTAATGTAAAGTTTCAATCGTGTAATCAAATGTATACAAACTTTGGCGGGCTGCGTGACCTCCGGCGGTAGTTGCGTGACCGCGAGCGCGAACGTGATCGCGAGCGCGAGCGTGACGACGAACGTGAGCGCGAGCGCGAATACGAGCGGCGATACGAACGGGATCGGGAGCGCGACCGGGATTTTGATCTGTGGAAACAAAATCGAATAAAAATCGGTTTGGAAGTAAAAATCATAAAGATTACAAATACAATATTATTAAAACACTTATTTTCGTTGAGGATTAAAATTCATAAAAATCTTAACTGCTTGTAGCTGTGAGCACATTATTAGGTACTTTAACCAAAATCGAAAAAGTGCCGAAGACAAAAAAAAAAACAACTGCTTGTAGCTAAGTAAAAGGGCCAAAAGATAAGGAGACTTGTAAAGAGTCTCATAAGGGTCATTTTTTAATTTATTTTTGACGTTCTTGGTCAAAAACTTGATGAGGCGAGTAATTTGCTCATTACAAAATAGGTACAAATAAAATAAAACTCTTTAAAAAAGTCAACAATACACAATCTTACCTCGACCGGGATTTGGAGCGAGAACGGGATCGCGACCGCGATCGCGATATTGACCGAGACTTCGACCTGGGCTGAGGCCCGTATGGACCCATCATTGGTCGCGCCGGGGATCTAAAAATACAATGAAAAAGTTACTAAAACCACAGAATAATAATAAGTACTACGTACAGAAGTTTTACTTCGCGAAGGCATTTAAAAAAATGTATGCTCAATGTCATTAACAATATAGTGTAATTTAGCCTGTCTCAAGAGTCAAGCACCATTTTGTTGACAAACGTCAGTGATCGGCACTGCGCCGAAGCTATAGGGCTGACTTCGGTAAAATGATGTGACGTGAGGTGCCAAACTGCGGAAAATGGCGGAGGAAATACATGATTTAGCATGAATTATCATGAGTAATATTAACTACTTATTTACCTCTCAGTGTCTTGAGGCAACTTAAAAAAGTACATTCTGTGTTTTTAATATTATTTAGGCAGTTAAATACTGCACAGTATTTAGTACATCATTTTCTTTATTTTCTTCCATCATACACATGAATACGCGTGCGTGAGTCAATGTTCGCTCGTATGTGAGGCCTTGTCGAATAGTATCCTGTAGGTGGGCCATCGTGCGTGTTTTGTTTTCGATGTAAGCTCGCGGAGATGAACAGGCCTGCTAAAACTTTAAATAAATTGCAATAGTGTTATTTTTATAGAATGCGGAGCTTACTTCATTTTTGGTTTGCGTGCAACTTCTGAATATAGTGGTTCTTTCTTCAAGTTTATTTTCAGTTTGTCCGCATACAGAGGCTTCGGAGGTGGTGGTTCTGGAAAGAAAAACGGCTATTTACGTATCGAATATTAATGGCTAAATTAAAGGATAGGAAGGTAAGGTCCAGATCATGCCCCTTCCTTTCCTCATTAGTACTTATTTCGTTTGAAACTTCAGCCATAGGACGTCCACTGCTGAACATCGTCCTCCCTCAAGACCGACGAAGTCATAAAGGTAGCAGGAAGGCGCTGGATGCAGGCCGCTATGAACCGGGTTTAAATTTATTGCCTTTCATTAAGGTTTAGTTCTGATGATAAACTGCATGATGGTCGCACAGTGCGACCTCACTCGCACTCGCGGGCGACTCTGGCCCTTATCCCCTGGCGATAAGGTTCAGGTGCGACACACTCACGCCTCCTGCCTTCAGGATTGGGTTCGGGACTCGAAACATATCCAGCTGAAGCGAGGGGTAAGACAGGGGGACGTCATATCTCCGAAACTGTTCACCAAAGATGTCTTCAAGCTTCTGGACTGGAGCGGATTCGACAAAAGTGAGACAGTGAGAAGAAAAAAATCATGTTTAATGTCCGTGCCGCACCCATTCCTCTGAAGGTTGGGGACTCTACACTGTAGAGTCTACAGTCGAAGCTGTTGACTATTTGGCACCATTTCCCAAAAAATCGAAAACACAACTTTTTTTAAAAGAAACTTCATTCTTGTCTTAAAAATTAAATTAATCTTAAATTACCTGAAAATTGAGATTTTTGGTTGCATTGTAATTGAAAAAAGTAGTTCGAGTTGACAAAATAGTGACGTCACTTGCTTGTATTGCCATACAAAATCTATGGGAGAGTCTCGTTTTGACAGTTTTAAAAAGTTCGTCAATGAGGGCTATCGTTTTAGCGCTCACTAGTTAGCGCCACTGTAGAGTAAGGTCCTGTCACTTGCTAGTAGCGAAGACAGTGGCACCAACCGGTGAGCGCGAAAGTGGTAGGAGGACTATCGTATTTGCACTCATCAAGATGGCGCCACTGTAGAGTAAGGTCCTGTCAATCGCCAGGGGTGCCAACTGTTAAGTATAAAAACGATAGCCCTCATTGATTGGTGGTGTCAACACGTCAATTACACTCACGGTCGTCGTTGCCGCCGAAGGACGTGATGAACTGTATGGCGGCGGCATAGCTGGGCGGGCTCACCACGCGGGCCACTGAAGGTGCCTACAATGTAAGCCATCGACATACGGGACTATTTCCACCTCTCGTTCCCACCGCTGCAAAAACCCAACCAATGAAGATCAAGTTTGTCCCGGGGGAAAGTCGTTGACAGTACACTCACGGTCGTCGTCGCCGCCGAAGGACGTGATGAACTGTATGGCTGACGGCGCGTCGGGCGACGGCGAGCGCGGGGGCCGCGCGGGCGACGCGGAGGGTGAACGCGAGCGCGGCGCGGCGTAGCTGGGCGGGCTCACCACGCGGGATGCCAGCTTCTTGTCGCTGGAACAATTGATACTTCTATTAGTCTTCTTCTTAAGGCTTGGTATTTCTGCTAAAGTAGGTATTTCGCGCTGTCAAAATCTGCGCGCGCAATACTTCGCCGAAGACAGCGCGCCAAAGAGCTCTCGCGGCTACACAGTATAGAAATACGCAGTTGGTTAGGTTAGGTTGACTTCCTTCCGTTCAAGCGTCACACTCACAGCACTTTCTAATACAAATCATAACCAAGTGATACAAATTAAAACAACTTTCAAAATTTTTGGGAATATATTTTAGAATCGAATAAATATAGAATATAACTGCCAAAGTAAACACGGTTCAAAGAGGCGTGGCGTCACCCGACCCTCCGGAAGTTCCGCGCCGGCTAAAAGAATTTCAAGAAGATTCTTCTATCTTGCAGCTTAGACCTTTAGCTACAGACCTTAGACAGTATTTTTGAAACATTCTTACGCATGGTGGAGGAAGGGACGCTCTAGAGCAGTGGTTCTTAACCGGTGGTCCGCGGACCACTGGTGGTCCCTGGAGGCATTCCAAGTGGTCCACGATGTGCACTTGCACACCTTGGTCAAAACCACTTTTAACTGATTTTTGCAGTCAAACTGGTTTTGACCGATTATGAGGTGGTCCCTGACAAGACAGAAATTTGTTAAAATGGTCCCTCATGACTTAAAGGTTAAGAACCACTGCTCTAGAGAGTCAAAACTACAAGAATACACATGAACTCCAGTTTTAAATCCGTTGATATCTGCGACATCTGCCATGTTTTTGGCTATAAGATTCTTCTATCTTACGGCGTAGCTAAACTACAGACCTTAGACAGTATTTTTGTGAAAATTCTTACACATGGTGGAGGAAGGGACGCTCTAGACACTCAAGTCTATAAGGAGTCACATGAACTCCAGTTTTAAATCCGTTGACATCTGCTGCATCTGCCATCTTTTTGGCTAGAAGATTCTTTTATCTTGCAGCTTAGACCTTTAGCTACAGACCTTAGACAGTATTTTTGTGAAAATTCTTACGCATGGTGGAGGAAGGGACGCTCTAGAGACTCAAGTCTACAAGGAGTCATATGAACTCCAGTTTTAAATCCGTTGACATCTGCTGCATCTGCCATCTTTTTGGCTAGAAGATTCTTCTATCTTACAGCTTAGACCTTTAGCTACAGACCTTAGACAGTATTTTTTATTATTTATTTGTGTCAGTGTGCTCTTCTAAAGAGTGTAAGACGATTGTATGTAGGTACTATTAAAATGTAATTTTAACTCATTGGTTTTGTCTCATATTTGAGGAATGTACTATGTATCATGAGTAGAGTCTTCGTTTAAAAGGATGCGAACGATTTAAATTTCAATAGGTAGACAAAATTGATAATTCTTAATTATCAAAAATTTAAGCTTTCTCCAGTAACACTGATATTATTATACTGTGACTCATCAAAGTCATCATTGTCAAAAATATTGACAAATCGCGAACTGTCACGGCCAAAAAACTGACACGCGTCCGTCCTCCGTAAGCGCCACCGCGCGACTGATTGAGATTGTCCAAGCCGTCATGGACGATTTTTTCCACATTTTTTAACATAGTAACTAAATAAGACGCAATATAAAAATTTCATCCGTTAAAAGCCCTCAAGTTATTTCTGAACTTTAGTTTAGTAAAAGATTTAGAATCTAAAATCGCTTATTTTAAAAATAAAACCATAAATAGAAAACGAATAGAGGTAACTTTGGGAATTTATTCTATCGAGTCAACTTCATCAAATTGTGTTTCCATCCGTTAATAGCCCTAGAAAATATCCTCAACTATGCCCAATAAAAATATTAGCCTTTAATTTTACTGTTTAGTACCTCAAAAATGAAAAATGAAAACCTCATTTTCGCCATTTTCTCTGCTACCCGGCCTTAACCTAGGCGCAGACCACCGATTTTTAGTCGGCCGATAATAATAATAATAATTAACTATTTTTAAGATTTTTGTTTTTATAATGTATTTTTATTTTTTGATAATAATTACATTGTAAAAAGAAAAAATTAAAAGTAAGAAAGTAAGATGAATAAAGGAATAATAATAAAAAGCCTGTTTATTTTCCTATAGGTATCTGACAAAACATTGTTTTATAGTTTCTTATTTCTAGATTAGTAATAATTTTATAATTAATTCTATGTTAGTTTACTTATAATATAATGTGTCTATAGGAACCCCTTTTTTCTTCCCCTTTTTTTCAATTTTGAGCAAATTGAAAGCGTGTTTATCGGTGACCTGCCGTCAGTTTCGAGCCTGTGGCAGGCCTTTTTGGCGTCAAATTCTATTGCTTATATTTTAGACGAACTGACCACTCGCTAACAAGTATCCTGCAAACATTTCTGAGCTCTTGCTGGACGTCGATACCAGTCAAATGACGATTTCATAGAGAGGTTGATATGAAAAAACGGTCATCCCTCTGCGATATGCACCGGCGCTGTTCAGAACTTGGTCTCGGGATAAAGCCACCAGTCTCCCGAAAGCGTTTTAAAACTTTCGAAACCCAGGACTGGCTTATGTGGAGCTGACGTGCGACAGCCCGCTGGCTAAACCCTTCTTGCAATAGTGCAACGATTTGTGCTGCTTCTGAAGGTGTAGAATCCCAGGTAAAATGTCAAAATAACCGGAGATATGTATGGATCAAATCGTGTGAAAGCAAAAATCTGAAAACACGTGCTTTTATAGGGGGTAAATAGGCCGCAACTCGCGACGTATCAAACAGTTGATACATGTCTTTTTCCTTAGTTCTTCACATCAGCTGGGATGTCTTTTTAAATACCGGTGTGATTTAAATGAATTTGGTATCAATTGAAAGTTAAAAGTTTAATCTTTAAAATGGTGCTTCTTTTTTTGTTACTAACAAATTCGTTAGTACACAAGATCGCGTGGAAACAACTTCATGTAAGTGATTCCATACTTTTGCTCGCGAGTGTAGTTATTTCCAAATGGTGAAAAGATAATGTCTTATGCGAATTACTGCATTTATGCTTGTCTGTTGTCCCCTACACTGGTGGTCAAAGGACTAGAGGACAGTATACTAGAAGACAGGTCTGAGGGAGAAAGGACTCGAGACAAATAACCAGGGGGACAAAGAGCTAGACAACAGATAACTAGGGCACAAAAGACTATGGGGACAGAGCTAGATGACACGATGACTACACGAGACAGAGGACTAGGGGGACAGAGGACTAGACGACAGGGGACTGGGAGACAAAGGACTAGACGACAAGGGACTGGGAGACAAAGGACTAGACGACAGGGGACTAGGAGACAAAAGACTAGGAGGACAGAGAACTAGACGACAGGGTACTAGAACTGGACGACACAGGTCTAGGGCAGAACATCCGCGTAAAACAATAGTAGGTCGCAACCCGCCATGCCCCACATCAAACGACTAGTTGACAGAGTATCTAGAGTACTAGAACATAACACTAGTATCCACTGACCGGTGCGCGCGTCTCTCCCTTCTGCTTTTCCGTCCATAGATCTAGAAAACTAGACGACAGGGTACTAGGGGACAGAACTAGACGACAGGGTACTAAGGAACAAAGAACTAGACGACAAGGGACTAGGGGACAGAACTAGACGACAGGGTATTAAGGAACAAAGAACTAGACGACAGGGTACTAGGGGACAGAACTAGACGACAGGGTACTAAGGAACAAAGAACTAGACGACATGGGACTAGGGCAGAAAAACGCTAGTATCTACTGACCGGTGCGCGCGCCTCTCCCTCCTGCTCTTCCGTCCCGAGAACATGGCTTTCTCCTTCTCCTCGCGAAGAAGCTGCTTCTGCTGCTCCGCGTCATCCGCGTCGCCCGTCAGGAACGAGAACAGGTCGCAGCCCGCCATGCCCCACACGGGACCCACCGCGTTGAGGGAATGCGCCTGCGCTCAGGAAATTAGGGTTATTGATCTACTGAGATATGAACTATAGAATGAAGCACAAAACCTCAATGAGTTTCCTAATTAAATTGATCAGTTAAGTTGGTACCACTGGCGAGTGAGGTCCTGTTACTTGCTGCTTGTGGCTAAGACAGTAACGCCAAATGGTGAGAGTACTATTGCATTTGCCATCACCAGGTTAGCGCCACAAGTAATGTGAGTCAGTGCTGGCGCCGTCAGTGGTACAAATAAGAAAACCTCATTCAATTTAAAGCATAATAACATTCAACATAATAATATTGATAATAATGCTAAGTATGTAAGATAGGACCTACCTTGTTTATTACCTGAAGAAATTATGAATTTTATTTGACACACAATAGTTAACTAAAAATACCTCATATCTTATTATTGTCTGGGAAAATTAATTGAATCATAATTATTTGATTATTGTCTGGCAAAATTAATTGATTCATCATAATATGACAACATGATATTATTTATCATGATATACATGTAACTAAGATTTTAAAGCAAAAGTAAAATAATCAACATTCTCCTCACCTGTGAAGCCTCCATTTTATTGACATCAATGCTCAGGTCCACATCAATGAGCTCAAGATCCGAGTCATCGTCCGAATCCTTTTGTTCCACTTTTTTAACATCTGGGCCTGTAATTAACAGCAAATGCCATCATAACGCCCAAACGGTGTCCCAAATACTTAACTCCCCAACGCTACCCCGAGGACTTATCCGTGACATATAACAGTAAAGCTGAATCTACCGTTAGAGCTAGAGGGTTGGGCTCCCGGATCTGAATAATTGTATCCTATAGCTGCTCCGGTTCCTTTCTTTTCGTTCAACTTCCCCTTTTGCATTTCCTTCTCTTCGATGGTGACACCGAATTGTTCTTCGATGGCCAGCTGCTGTAGGAATTTGTCTTCACCTGGAAAAAACATTTAGGTTAGTTTCTTAGCTCCAATTTTTAAAACAAATTCTTTAAAATGTAAGAAGTAATTAGTACTAATTAGTGAGATAACTTAATTTAAACACATTTAGGCTAGTTTTAATTGCATGCTTTTAGCACCTCATTGTTATTATGTTTCTAAATATCACTTCTAATGCTTCCTCATTTAAAAGACAAGAAATTACTTAAATTATAGATTGTATTTGAAATTGAAGCATTACAGCAACTTTGAAGACAATAGAAATAATAGCTCAGTTTCTAACACAAACTCTTATTTGAATAAATATGTGCATTCAATTTAATGCTGTTGAAACATTGTGGAATGATTAAAATACTCACTTATCCCAAGAAACATATTCTGTGCGAGGATTCTGTATCGCTCATAGTTGCACTGCCTTTCTTCAGGATCTAGCTCCTCTGGGGGTACGTCAGGGTATTTAATTTCTGGTATGAAGTCCAAATGGGCTCGGACATCAAATCTATCAATCATGTTGTTGGAATCACCCTGCCATGGCATCCTACAAAGAAATACCGAATTTAGAAATGTGTGTAAGGTTTTTCCAATACCACATAAGTGTTTGCAACCATTATCTATAGAAATTTTCTATCATAGATACTCACATAATAGCCGAACTCTCCCCGGCAGCAGCAATAGCGGGATCTAGGTGAATCTTGCATGGTCTACCGTGTAGTTGAAGGAATTGTGTAGGTTCTGCCTTCTGAAATTCAATTTATCAATAATCTCTCAATCAAAGGTACCTTCTTTCAACAAAAAAATTGCGGTGAAATTACTTTTCTTAGGGCTAATAAACCAACTATTTAGATAATATTGATATTTGTTTACGTGATATACCATAAACTTGCAGTTAAACTTACGATTTTCTCATAGAAATCTTTACGACGCTCCGCCCTGCGTCGATAATCGACTATCAGACCGCGAATCATTCGCTCCTGTTTTCTTGCTTCGTGCCACATTTTAGTTCACTTATAACGCAATAATTTAGCACAATATCAGCACATTTCTTGTTCTTTTGACGATATTATAACACTGAAACTGGAAGACAATATCAAAAATAATTCCACCAACACCATTCATCTCGCCATTTTTAATCTTTTATGACGTTCCGATTAACAGAATAGCTGTTTTATGTTATGCAAAAAAAAACAATTAAAAACACTAACCAGAATAATCTTATTATATTAATTATACTAAATAACTAAGTTCACTAGCATTCATTAGGTTTACAATAAAATTGATATAATAATAAAGAAATAAGAAAATAAGTAAAGAACAATGTATGCAAGCGTAAATTGAAACGTTGTAACTTTTTTTAAGAGCCGGCTATCAAAGGCGTTAAAGATTATACGGTGTCGTGAATATTTATTGTGATAAAAAAGTCTCCAATACAAAAAATATTCCTCTTGGTTCCCACATAGCTACCGTCGTTCTTTGAAATGATACACTCAAAATATTAGAAAATGCATTTAATTTACTGTGTACAAAAATAGTTCACTACAATCTTCAATATCAAAAAAGATTTCATTTTCCAGTTGGCTTGGTCTACAAATGCTTATCCAGTTCAGAGATTCCTCGGACATGTCCAAATAGCTAAGTGTGTCTGCCATACTCCTGTTGCATACTAAGTAGCTTCCCTTTTTGATGTATTTTTTAAAGAAGCGCCACATTTCTTTGTGCTTTTCTATGTCAACAAAGAAGTCCAAAACATTTATTATGATGACATCAGCACTCTGAACTACGTCACTTCGCTCTAAAACATCTGAGTTTATAACTTTTATTCTATTGTTGTCCAACGAGTATTGGCTGATAATTCTGTTTTGGACATCGCAGAATTCTTTGTTCATTTCTATCCCAACAATGGTGCCAGCATTTGAAAAGTAATAAGCCTGTGAAAAAATATAATTCTATGAATTTAGTAGCAAACACATCATAAAACTAAATTTTTCTAAATTAAAGCCTTTAATTGATTTATTTAGACATAATACTTACTCCATAAAGTACTGCTCCCAACCTAGATCCTACATCTAGGATTTGTTTGTCTTCTAAATCTGAAGGAAGCAAGACTTTGAATATGTACTGTAAGGATTGTCTGGACATAGAATGTGATATGAGGGTTAATTCCTGAAACAAAAAGTCATTTAGTTATTTTTTAAATTTACATCAATAAATCTGTCTCTAAATATTTAATATGGTTGAAGATAAAATATGGTTACCTACCCACTAAATAAAATTAAAAATAAACTGAATTTATCTACCTACAAAGTTAATTTTAACAAGGAACTTACTTGTACATTACGTGAGTTGCAATCTAAACAGTAATGTTTCTTCAGTTTCCCCACTTTCACCAAGTCAACCACCTCGTCTTGGTCATACAAGAACTCGTCTACATGGCATGTGTTGACGGTGTTGCAATCCGCTTGGTCCCCTACCGTTGGCGGGATGATCGTCTCTGATGGCATTTCAGCCTCAAACGGCACGATCTCTTTGATAGTTTCTCCAATCTTTACCAGACATCTTTCAGATATTTGCATCAACTTTTTGGTTTCTAACTCTGGAAAACAAGTTTATGTTTTGGTTAGAATTGTATATTGTAGAGTAAAATTGTATTGTTAAAACACTCGTTGTTATTGAATAGTAGTAAGTTAAAATATTACCTTTCTTATAAGAACGACTGCAAATCCACTGTTCAATCGAGTCCAACTCAAAATCATTTAACTCTGCAAACAGTTCTAATACTCTAAATTTGGTGCTGACTACACTGTCTTCAGACATTTCAAAGTTTTCCTTCACTCAGGATACAAAATAAGACTGAATTTAATTTATAAATCAAGAAAATGCTTGATAATGTTTTTGTCAAAAATGACACAAACGGTTAGGTATTAGTTTGACAAACGTTCAAATAACATCCTCATTCGTGAATTTGGGTTGTCGAAGGCTGCACGCTGTTTCTTCGTGTTTTTAAGCTAAATAAATTAACATTGTAACTTGTGACTAAACAAAGCGAGTGCTAATGAATCACCATTTAACTCAAGGTTGATACCAAGTGATATAATTTTCTTAGTCGGGTTTAATGTGTGTTAAAACTGAGCACTTTCATTTCACATGATCTAAGTTTTGTTTGATTTTTGGACCGGACATAACTATTACTGAAATGATGAACGGAGCGAGTTCACATAGTAAGTCGATAGGGATCTGGATGTCGGACAAGAAAAGTCAAAAACTCAACTGGAAGGAGCTCACAAGAGCTTGCTCTTCACATGGGTATAATCTTGTAAAGGTAAGGTTTTTGTAATACTCATACCAATTAAATACTTCATAACTGTGTAAAATGCATCTTCCTAGGATTATTGCCCGTGAAAGGGATTTCGTTTTACATATTTGTAAAAATTATGTTCAGTAGATTGATCTTATTGTTACTATTAGATTAACTATGTCATTATTTCAATTAAGATACCATCAAAAACTGGCAAATAAAGAGCAATGCAGTGAATAATTGGACAGTCAAAGCTGCTTATTTGTTTGGAAAATTAATAGAAAACAATCTGTTCCAGCTGGACTTGGACAGGCCTTTAGAAGAACAAGGTCGAATCGATATATTTCTTCATAAACTCACAGACATCATTGCGGCGGCTGACCAAGGTGACCCAAAGGCAAGTATTTGTCACTCGTAAACAACTGACCCTGTGACACACTTCAATGGACACGCCTCCAAGGTTGTTTTGTAACTAAATTATTCATCAAAGTAATTTAATAATCCAGTATCAAAATTTGTAGGGTATATTTTACTAGTGACGATTAAGTCTGCATAAATGTTTATATTATTCTTTTAAAAAAATATCTTTTTATGTATTTTTTAAAAAACATTTAATGGATTTATTATCAGACATAAAATTAACAAACACATAAGAGTAGTTGATTTTAGCAAAACAGATTTCTATTTTATCAATCTGTTACTTTCTCAATAACAACAAGATATTAAATGCATCATATTATTTACATTAATTTATTAATTACTATAGCAACATTAATTAATTATGATTCATTTGTAAAGGTTATCTCTTGTAAACATATTTACAATCAATTTTTACTTGACTATAAATAGAATGGAGAAGTAAACATAAAATGAAATTGAATAATTAAGTAATTTATATTTATAAACTTTCCAGGCATCACAAATTATTGGTCGTGTGGAGCAATATTTGTCTAACCATCCCAATATCGTTGTAATTGATCCTTTAGACAAAGTGAGGATATTGTTAAACCGGTAAGTTGTATTTCAATTTTACACAAATAAGTACATATTTTCTAATATCAATAACATCAAATATTAGCCTGAGAACGAAACTCACTAATTTCTGTTTCTAATGTGTTAAATTGTTAACTAACAAACCACTATCAGGATAAATATGTACTCGTTACTTGATACATTGCTGAGTTTATTATGTAAACAACACATTTACTTTGTACATAATATTCATGTAAATAACATTACAGGTACTGCTACTATTCCATTCTGCAAGACGAGCCATCATTTAAAAGACAAGGGATATACACACCTACGTTCGCTGAATTCACTTCGAGCAACATTAGAGATAATGTAGAAATAATGAGGCAACGAGGAGTCACATTCCCTGTCATATGCAAGCCAACTATTGCTCACGGGTCGAAGTCTGCGCACGAGATGATTGTAATATTCAATGAGAAAGGACTCAGTGTGTGCAAACCGCCCTGTGTCGTACAGAGCTTTGTCAACCATAATGCAGTACTGCATAAGGTGTTTTTAGTGGGAAACAGGTATGGTACAAGTAAAACAAATAGTACAATTTTAAGTCTAAGTCAGTCCTTCAGATTAGAGGTGTGAGGAATCGCAGTTTTAGCACCACTACCTTAACAATTCGTCGCCGACGCCGCAAAGGGGCGAACTTTATACAAACGGTCAAAAATTTTGTTAAGTATAATACAGAAATACTCCATTCTTCAAGCACTGTAGTTTTTTTGCTATCCTGTATAATTTTATAAAAAAGGGTTAGCCAATTTGCGTCATCGGCGACGAAGTGTACAACTAGAAGTGTCACGGCAAGCGCGCCTAGGTGGCACCACTGCAGCGCTTCCTCACGCGTCTAATTTGAGGGCGCTCTAAAAGTAAACATTTTTAATAGCATAATTATAACGACGATGATTTTTGTGTATTTTTTTTTATGTTATTATAATTAACGAATATTGTTCTCTGGAATTTTTTCAGATACCACATTTGCGAGAGACCCAGTCTGAAAAACTTCTACGCGTCAGATGATTTGGAGCCAATTTTCTACAGCACAGGAGAGGTATGTAAAGCAGACAGCCAATCCACACTTTCGATTCTAGATCCTCACGATAAGGCTGATATTCGAATGACGCCGAACGAGGATAAAATCAGGAGTGTTATCAGAGTTTTAAGAAAGAAGATTGGTTTGTTGCTGGCTGGCTTTGACGTGGTCATAGACAATTGTTCGGGTGACCATGCAGTCATAGACATCAATGTGTTTCCAAGCTATGATAATTACCCAGATTTCTTCGAGCATTTCCTAGATTGTATCGACGAGAGTGCAAACAGGACTTGTAGTGAGCACAACGGAGAGTGCAATGGTGTGAACGAAGATTATTCTTCTAGTCATCTGTTGAATGGTTTGATGAATGTGGGACTGGAACCAAGTAGATTTGGTGTTACTGGTATGAATATTAATTAATTAAAGTTTGTGGACCCATTAAATTATTGTTAGTAGTTGATGTGTTCATAACTCAGATTTATACATTTATTTTGAACACAAGTCAAAATATAATCCAACTTACACTTCAGTTCTCTGTTGGAACCAGCCTTCAAATAAGTTCAAGTAAAAAATACAGCAAATACTGCCCTGAAGGTTGTGCCTTGTTGGGCAAAGGCCCAAAACACACTGTGAAACGCAATTGCAACGAAACTGCAACTTCTAGTTACTTTTGAGTTGCATTTAAGTTTGTTGACGCGACCAGTTTGAAACCGGTTTGAAATGATCGCGTCATGTGTGGTCTCTCAACGGAATCTTTGGCAGAAACTTAGATGCAATTCAAAAGTAACTAGAAGTTGCAGTTTCGTTGCAATTGCGTTTCACCGTGTGTTATGGGCCTAAGTCGACAAAAATATACCAATTTATGATAAATGTTTTTAATGGGCCCTCTATTATGTAGATACACCACTATATGTCTTCTATCTATCTATATTAATATTCTCTTTGTTATTAATTATGATCTGACCATATTTGTTAGTGTTGCCAGGTTGAATAAAAAAATATTGATATTGTTTAGAAACTCCTTTATGAATTGCACCTGATATTAGCAGCACTAGAATTAGGTTATGGAAAATGTGATTAAAACAGCGTTATGCTTGTTAGATTTTATATTCGAACAATATAGGTTAAGTTAATGTATTTTTGTATTACATATTGTTATGCTAGAAGCGATTATGTATAATTAATTAGTTACAGCTAGAAAACAATAGTGAGCATACAGATTAGAAAAGCAATAATATTGTTTTGAACAAGATTAATTAATATAGAGTTTAGAGCATAGTTATTTGTCTATGAGTACTTTGCTATTGAACCATACCTTAAATTTAACTCAATGGTATGCTTTTACCGTCCAAAATAAACTACAATAGTGTGTAACCCATTCTATTTTAATGTTGCTGTTATATTTGTATACTGAAGTAGTTATCTCTGTATCAAGCATAAACACCTTTTTATTTAGTTTCATTGTAGATTGTTGTGAGTTAAAATTGATGAATTTTTGTATCTAAAATAGTGTTCCTGAACTATCGATATTTCGTCCGTCGATAGTGGACGATAAATATCTCTATTCAAGTGATTAGAGACGCCACTGCCAATCAAATCCTACTCAAATCTCTGTTATTAATTATTTGCTGGCATCATTTTGAACTTCTCCATAGAAACTGTGGTAAAATATTGTTTGGGTGTTTAAAAATTATGGATTCTTATTTGTGTCAAATATACAGGTTTATTAGAAATGCAAAATGAATTGAATGACGTGAGAAATAACATACAATTCCAACTAAGGCAGACTATTTGTATCTTTTGAATGTTGCATACAAAGAAATATGATGCAAAATCACATAACTACTGATAGGATAGCATAGTATCGATGAATATAGATTTGATTATAACAGACAGTATTGTAATAACTTTAAAAAATCAGTGCTATCGCGCTATCAGAACTATCGATACGTTGGTTTTGTCTTTAAATATCGATAGGTCGATACTAAACTATCAGTAGGCAACACTAAAGTGATGATGCGCGGTGATTATACAAAACATATTTACGTATTTTTTGTAGGTATTAGTCTAAAAGTGCAATTCTTCGCTAATAACTCATTGGTACATGCATTATCTGTATGTATTTGTATTGAGATGAGTTGTCTTTTATCAATTCTGTCTAATGTACGAACATTTATTGCGATTGTTTTAATTGTACTATGTATTAAGGATAAGCGTAGTTGATATGTATGTCTGGAAATTGTGTATAGACAATGTAAGTCAAGAAAATTATCTGAAGTAGAGCAAGAAATTAATTTTATACACAGAACCGTCACTCACCTATAAGATAGATCCATTAACTAGGTCATAATATCGCCTATTCGCATTCACCACCCTATTTATTTATTTGTAATATTGGGGCCAAACTATGGATTATTAATTAAAATAGTGGAAATAACCATACTGAAATACACTAACAAAACCTTTTATGAATGCCTAAATGTATGACAGTGTCATAGTGAGTATTTTTCACTGTTTTAAAGAGTGATCCGTCGTTT